TCTTGATTTGCGGGAGTTACAGCTAGAATGATTGAAGAGGGGTTGGAGATGTACGACAACAACATCTCTCGAATTTGCTCCTATATAAAGAAAGAGCGAGATTGTAAAAACTTGCGACCAACCAAAGTCAACTTTACCTCAATGTTAGCTGGTTGGTCTCCAACGGGAATCTTTGTAATTCCAGGCAGATCAACCAGTGACAAGTTTACTACATTTTTCGAATATATTCTGAGTATTATAGGTATAGGAGAGATACCCTGAAATTGACGAAATGAAGAAGAAGAGATGTCGAAGAAGTGGCACTGGAAAAGAGTAACCTTATTGGAACCAGTAAGTCTATCAGTTTCGGTTTCAATCTCCTTTCGAACCTCCCCAAAGTCAGTGAAAATCTTTCCGCCTGTGTGCTCAAACATCGCCCAGTCCTCAGTGAGCAACGTCCCTGAACAAACTGCGGATATGTGCATGACCATGAATTGTTACAACATAACTTATAAAAACTAACCATCGGGTTTTCTTCGTCGGATTTCATCATCAGGTGGCACATGCGATAAATGAAGAATGAGAGGCCTTCTCGTCACAATACCCGTCCCACGAGGTAAGAAATCACGACCGACAATGTTCTCCAATACTGAACTTTTCCCAGCACTCTAAAAACCGGTTTGGACACATATCGCCAAGCAGAGCATACCATGATAGCTGTATTTGCTAGGTAAAATTATTTAACCGAATCGATAAACTCAGCCATCCAAGCAAGATAATCAAGTATCAAAGATTATTCGGTGAGGCGTGCTCGAAATTCTCATAGTCAAGTTAACCTAATCGATTGCTCGAATTGGTCCTCGAGCTGATGAGTGTTTAATGCAAAATGGTACAAGTGGATGGCAGTAAAAATCACATATTCAATCCCAAGCATGATATCTTCAATGGAACAGTATAAAAATCGTGAAAGTAAGTTGAAAGAGTAGTGAAATAGTTTTTGAATAAAAAATAAATATAACCTAATTTTTCCCATAGTTTTGGGCCTAGAGCAGATTTTCTCTTGTATTATTCAAAAATCAAAATCTTGCATAATTCAAAAAAGTTTGCTCATACTTCAAGATCGGCTCATTTTTGAGGTATTTTTCATTTCTTTGAGACGTTGTTCAATTTGAAAGCGCTTAGCAGATCCGGTTTATCTCGTCACTGAACATAAGTTTCTATCGTGAAGCAAGAGAAATATTCATGCTGAACGGCAAACAAAAGCAACTGGAACTGATAGCGAACGTATATTAAGCTAGGTGCTAACACAGAAATGAGGCTATCACATATGTGTATCGATGCAGAGGGGATCCTAACTACTTCCAAAATGATGTCACCATACTATGGTTGAAGGCAGAGCAAAAATAAATAAACATGATCAAACATTCAAAAAAAAAACATTATGAGCACATATAAGCTTGGAAGAAGCGTGTCACCAGAAAGCGTCTGTTTTTTGCAATTAACTTTATAGGCGGATTATGGAGGGCAGCGTCTCCTAAGCACAGTTCTTTTTCGGCAATGAGCTCGAACAATCTCCTAATTTTCTCACCGGTCA